CAAATTTCTTTACATCATTTTCCTTGATGGTGGCCAATGGCTCGGCCCCTATCCACTTAGTGAAGTAGTCCGTAGCAGCGATGAAAAATTTACAGTTTCCCGGAGCGGTTGGAAGCAGTCCTACAATGTCTAGCCCCCAAAGCACAAATAGCCAAGGACTTGTAAGGGGGAGCAACTCTCTGGCCAGCTGGTGAATTTGGTGAGCGAATTTTTGACATTTTTCACATTTGAGAACATATTTCTGCTCGTCGGCCTGCATGCATAGCCACCAATAACCCTTGGAAATGGCTCAGTAGGCCAAAGATCTGCCCCCAATATGGCTTCCACAAATGCCTTCATTAATCTTGAAGAGGAAAGCTTCAACCTTGCTGGGGTGGACACACTTCAGGTATGGCCCAGTAAAAGATTTCTTGTATAAGGCGCCAGATGGAGAGAGCCAAAATCGCTAAGACTTGGCCCTGATCTTGTTGGCCTCCTTCTTCTCAGTGGGCAGAATTCGATCTTTCAAGAAGAGGATGATTGGATCCATCCAGGACGATCCCAAGTCGGCGCAAAGTACTTCGGGAGCCTCCGGTTCCTCAACGCTTGGTTGGGGTAAGAATTCTATCATCAAAGGATTAGGAAAATTCGTTTGCATAGATGCTAGGCTAGCCAATTCGTCGGCTTCATTGTTGTCTTCACAGTTAATTTGTTCTATTCTTATCGCGGCAAACTTTTTGATCTATGCGCGTACCAGCACTTGATACTTAGACATCATTTCATCCCTGGCCTCATATTCCCCAGAGACCTGATTGACCACCAGCTTGGAGTCGCTGAATACCATAAGTTCTGATGCTTTCATTCTTAAAGCACTTTTCAATATGGCGAGGAGGACTTCATATTCTGCCTCATTGTTGGATGTTGGGAAACCAAGTATGATTGCATGCTCAATGGTTAACCCGTCTGGGGACGTCAACATGACCCCCAGCTCGGCGCTATGTCTGTTGGAGGCCCCATCGACGAAGAGCTTCCACATCTCGCCAATGAACAATTTCCAGCAATCGGTGGGATTTTGGAGTTCCTCAACTCCAAGTTACTGGTCAGGTCGGTCTGATTCTTTCCTGGACATCTATCGAGCTTGTATTTCGGTAAATCAGCTAGTTCTTCCATTTCTGGTTCAGCTTGATCATTCCGTTCTACTACTTGTTCCCCACCACTTTTTTCTTGTTTCGCTTGATACTTAGCCAAGTCGCTCTAGCCAAATCAACAGAGCAAATAGGGTGTGTTCCAAGGGCAAATTTCACCACAAAGTCAGCAAGGGCTTGAGCTTTGATAGTAGTGCGCGGCTGGAACTTGATGCCGTATTGTCCCAATTCTACGGCCCACTTTAAAATTCTGCCGGTGAAGTCTGCCTTCTCAAAGAGCACCTTGAGCAGAAATTTGGTTAGCATTATTATTGTGTGGGCATGAAAATAGTGCGCCAACTTTCTAGAGGCCATCATAAGAGCTTGAGCCAATTTTTCAAGCGGCAGATATCTCGATTTAGCTGGGAGTAATGTCTTGCTAACGTAGAAAATAGGGAGGTGCTGGATCCCTTCAGCACGGATGAAGACTGCGCGTACCGCGTGTTGAGAAACTGTCAAGTAAAGATACAACTCTTCACCCGGCCGTGGTATGACCAGGATTGGGGCTGAGAAGAGATATACCTTTAGATCCACCAGTGCATGGTTGCACTCGTCATCCCAAAAAAACTTGGCTTTCAAAGTCTTGAAAAAGGGCCTGCAACGATCCGAAGACCGGCTGATAAATCTGCTCAGTGCGACTGTCATTCCGCTGAGATGTTGCACGTCATTTGCTAAGTTTGGCCACTCCAGTTCTTGTATTGCCTTGATCTAGGAAGGGTCGGCTTCAATTCCTCAATTGGTAACTAAAAAGCCCAAAAATTTTCTAGTTCCCACCCCGAAAGCGCACTTGGATGCATTCAATCGCAACTTATGGTATTTGAGAACGACAAACATTTCATGTAGGTCTGTGAGATGTTAAGACTTGTCTTTGCTCTTCACCACCATGTCGCCAATGTAAGCCTCCATAGTGCGGCCCAATAGTGGGGCAAACATTTTGGTCACCATTCTTTGAAAAGTTGTCCTAGCATTCTTAAGACCAAAGGGCATGATCTTGTAACAGTACAAGTCTCTGGGTGTGGTAAATGACGTGATCTTTCTGTTTGGCTCGTACATGGCTACTTGGTGGTAGCCGTGGTATGCATCTAAAAAGCTGAACCTTTGGTGCCCAACAATAAGGTCCACCAGCTAGTCGATCATCGGCAATGGAAAACTATCCTTTGGGCAGGCATGGTTGACCATCTTGCAATCAACGCATACCCTCCACTTCCTATTTTTCTTGGGCACTACCACTGTATTAGAGATCCATCTAGGGTATTGTACTTCTTCTATTGCCCCAGCTTCTAACAAGTTTTTGACCTCCTCTGCCACTACCTCAGCATGGTGTAAGGCCGAGCGCCGAGTTCTTTGAATGATTAGTCTTGCGTTGGGGAAGACATTTAATTGGTGGCAAATGAAGCTAGGGTCGACGCCAAGCATATTGTAAGGCGTCTATGCAAAGGCTTCGATGATGGAAACCAAAAAATTCATATAGTCTAGCCGCTCAGCGCTGGACAAAGATGATCCCAAAAGAAAGAATTTGTTCGGGTCATTCTTATCGATGCGCACTTCTACCAAGTCTTCAACTGATTTCTCTTTGGCTTTTCTTCCCACATCTTCCAGCACCTTCTTTCCTTCTGGCTCTTCTATCATTTGGACAAAGCCTTTGGCAGCCCGGCTGCCATTTACCACGATGAAGCATTGCCTTGTCATTACTTGGTCCCCCCAAACCTCTTCTACTTGTCCAGCTAGTGCAGGAAAGCGCAGGACCTAGTGATAAGTCGACGCTACTGCTTGCATGGCGTGCAACCAACTTTTTTCGAAGATTAGGTTATAGGTTTATGGGACCTTAAGCACCCCGAACTCCACTTGCTTCGTGACTGACCCAGCTTTGACCGGCAATATGATATTTCCGATTGGCCATTCCGGTTGAGAGTTTAAGCTGACCAAAAGGGGCGTTGCTGGAGCCAGGTCTTTGTCCACCAACTTCATTTGTTTGAACGCGTTGTAGTACATGATCTCGATCGAACTCCCCTGGTCGATCAAAATTCTTTTGATGTCAAAGTCTTTGACGCGAAGTGTCACAACTAAGGTGTCATTATGAGGCGTTTGAATTCTTTCCAAGTCCTTGCTTGAAAAAGTTAAGACGTCATTTATCTTGGTCTTCCCTTTCTTCATGGCAGACTGAATAGAGAGCACTTCCCTCATGTGTTCGGCCTTCTTGATCATCCCCCTCAGCTCGCAAACCCGCGTCGGCTCGATGATGCTGTGAATAACATTGATTACTGCTTAGGGCGCCGCATCTAAGGCAACATGGCCATTTGGCTTGGCTTGTCCTTGTGGTGCAGCCCTCATACCCTTGTCAATGTACTGATCCAAGTGCCCAGCCGCAACCAACTCCTCCAAGTGTTGTTTGAGCGGCACGCAGTCCTCCGTTCGGTGCCCCCTTTTTTCATGGAAGGTGCAAGGGTACCTCGAGTTGAAGCCCCTCTGCATGTCTCATAATTTGGCTGGCCAACGCACGTATGGCTCACCTCAGATTTCACTGAGGATGCGATAAATTGAGATCTTAAAGACAGTGGTGATGCCGGTTCGTGCTTTCAACTTCCTCTTCGCTGCGATGAGTGTTAGCTCAGTCGTTTCTATGGTTTTTGTTTATATCATTGTAGTTTGAACTGTGATGTTGGTCTCTAGCTCAATTATTAGGGCGGTTGTCCTCCTGTCCCACCGAGTGAACTTTCCTAGCCACCCTTCTGTCCGCCCTAATCGGATTTTCCTTCTCGGTTGCGGTGGCAGTGGCGGTATCATCCTCTACTCGGATATGCTCGTTGATTCGCTGTATTAAGGACTCCATGGTTGTAGGCTGATGCATCGTGAGCGAGTCTCGCAGCCTATGCTCGACTGGTAGACCTCGCTTGCATTGGGCGATCACTAGATTGGTGGGATAATCGAGGATCTCATTGTAGGTTTCCCAATACTTGGCATTGTATGGCCTCAAAGAACCTCCGGACTCCATCTTGACACTCAGGAGGTCGTCAACCTCCTTCGATGTTCGAGTATTGGTCTTGAAGTTGGTGACAAAGGCCTCTGTTAGTTGTTGTCACCCCTCAATGCTCTCCTCCGGGAGCCTTTCGAACCACTTCAGGCCCAATTCTCCCAAACTCACTGGGAATATGAGACACATCAAGGCATCGTTATGCCAGTGGCCAGCCATTACTTGCCAGTAATGACTAACATGCATGTACGAATCCGTCTTGCCGTCGTACAGCGTGAACTTAGGCTGGTGGAATTCGGCAGGGAGTTGTGTGCTCTCGATCTCTAGGGACAGTGGGGTAGCGTTAAGTCTTGCTAGCTCTCTGTCCATTGATACTGGAGCCACCATTCTTGGCGCTGATATGGCCACTTCCTCACTGCAACGGATTTAGGGACTTAGGCTTTGCAGCGCTGGCAATCTTTGAGCCTCTATACGGCGGGGCGTACTCTTCCAGCACATCTCTCAAGTCCCCCGAACGGGCGGAGTAAGAGTATCTCGACGTTGTTGATGGACGCGAGGGTCGGTAACTACTGTCGTGCGTGTAAGATCTCTCTACCGATGGGTCAGAGTCACCAACTCCATAGCTTTTGGTGATAGAGAGAGAGGGTGGCCCATGTTGACGACGACTGTCAAAGCAACGAGGTGGGGTGCACTCACTGTGGTCACCCACTCCAACAACACCCTTCCCTTTGATTTGGCGCTTCAACGCCTTCATTTCAGCCCCCATCTTCCGAAGGAAGACGTCCTCGTCTCTGAGTTTGTGCTCCAGGCGCTTAACATGTGACTCTCATCACTGCCGGTGACCCTCGGGACTCTTTGAATGTTCAATGCTCCTCGCGCGTTTGTCTTGCGTGCCTCTGGAAAAGGTCTCCAGGCCCGCCGTAGTCAGAATAGCAGGAAGGCCATCTCTCTATCGGACAGACTCTGGTGTGATACTGTCAACAACGGACAGCGGTGTGTTTCGTCGTTGTTGGCCATGGAAACGGTTAAAAAATCTTGGAGAGCAAGGTTTGTCTGTTTAAGATTTTCTATAGACGGCGCCAATTGTACGAGGGTGAAATATTCTCCGTTCTCCGTACTCCTTGAATCCAAGCTTCACTTAGCATTGTTTAACCTGAGAACAGAAAGACGGTGAGCTGCCCGGCGGTGTGCTGCCAGATAAACCCTCCGACAATCAAGTCTGCATACTTGGAGAGAAAGAAGGAGAATGAATAGAGCACTTTCGAGAGAGAGAATTTGAAATACTTTCAGGATGTTTATCTCTAACATCTCTATGTTCCTCCTTTTCAATGCTGGCCATGGAACCTCAGGATTATGGACGCACTACCTTTGCTGTCCTTTTCTAGGCAGATAGTTGTGCTTCCTTTTACCATTCCTACATGTGTAGAGACCAAAAGCTCCAAACAGTGTTTGTCAAATCGCCAAACGGTATTGACGTATACCAGGAGTGGATTCCTCCCACTTCGTCATTGGGCCACGTGAGATATCAAACCGAGCTATCACTTCATGAGATAGCTCTATGCCAAACTCAACCAGATTGGACTACGGTGGAAGGCATCTCAGCTGTTGACCACCGACCTTATGGGTCATCTCCGCCTGCACTATTGTGGATCGAACTACCTATAGCCCAGTCATCAGAAGATTCGGCTACCTTGAGTTCCAATACCGAGGCAGTTCCACCCGTCCACTCCATCTCGGCTAAATCCAACGAGACGCTTCATTCGATACGAGCCTAGCTCGGTCGAACCCCAAGACACCGCGTGGATATAGCTCGGCAACCTTAATCCGGTTTGGCAGTATACTCAGCATGGACCTGATTCGGCCAAACAACGAGCTCCCGGTTTCCTTCGCGTGGCCCATCACAACATTCCGTGCCGTTCAGCTTGACCACACTATTCGGCTTAAATCTCCCTTTCAAAATCTTAACACATCAATTTCAGTTTCTGTTGCTAGTTTCAGCACAGGCCTGTCGCTATATACATATTTTAAGGATCTTGTTAAATACATTTTATTGATATTGAGTACCTTGACAACTTGATAATTAAAGACCACTCCTTATTTGGCTTTTGTCATTTTACTAATTACTCACAGTGGCAAAGTTATTAATTCACATATTATACGATTAAATATATTAAGCATCATGCCATGCATGTTTCATATGAAATGAATTTGTCTTCTTTCATGTTGCCTGTAAACGTCTCCCTATCTTGAGCTTTTGAGCCTCATGTAGAGCTGTCATCTGCATGTAACCTAAAGCCCTCTTCCAGCATAAGTTGTTTTGGATTTTTATTGCCAATTTATATGAAAAATGGCTCTGATTGTCCTTCGAGAACTACTCCACCAATATGTTAAGTCATTGTTTGACGATGTTGTAAGATTTCTGAATATTCAATTGTGTAAAATACAAGAATACATTGGTTTATAAAACAATCTAACCCTAGAATGAAAAAGGAAACACGAATTATTCACTCAATCCCTAATATATACTAAATATATGTACTACCATATATACATAAAATCTAACATTCTCACAGAGGTATCAGACTACTTTTTTGTTGGTTTTAGAGTATGTTCTGTGAAAGTATGGCTGTTAGATGTCACCTGAACTCTAAACTGTTGGCCATGGTGTAAGATGACTTTTATGTGTGTTAGTAGCAGTTTTTGGGGCATTTCGGAACCCTATTTCTGCCTCACGAGCCTTTGTATGTTGAAAACCAAATTTTATATGTTGCAACTTACATTCACAATTTGGTTTTAAGGGGTGGGGTGGGATTATATTAACATACATAAGTCTTTTACTTCTTTATAATTGGAGTTCGAATGCCTTGTTGGAATCCCTTTGTTTTTATTTATTTATTTATTTATTTTTCTCTAGGAAGAATGTAACGCCCTGGCAATGAAACTCCTTGATCCCGTCCATCCGAGCATTTCCAATATACGATCAACAATGAGAACGGGAAAAAATAATAATGAAATAACTTCAATAACATTCCTTCCCTTCTGAACTATTTCCAAACCTTACAACATTGTCTCATTACATTCATAAATAAAATATAATAGTTCAACCAGTATGGAATGAAACAACAAATTCAGTTATAGGTTAACTTTCCCTCAACATTTGTTTTTTTTTGCACCAAAATACAAATCGACATATAGTCGCCAAAACTGCCTTAGGCACACCCATAACATGATTTCAAACAAAAGCTTTTACATCCCAAAAATTTCCTTTTTCTCAAAACAGTCACTTAGGAGGGGCTCCATCTTCTTTTCCTGAAAATTTGGTTAATTTGGGACGAGCAAAAGCTCAGTAGGTAATGCACTTAATAGGTTTAAATATTTATATGGACCCATTGAGAGTGATAGTGGCAAACCCGAGGGCATGAAAGTTGATGAATGGAAGAGGCTTAATCGAAAAGCTGTTAGTGTTATCCGTCAATAGATTGATAACAGCGTGTTTCAACGTGTTGCTACTGAAACTTCGGCACATGATTTATGAAAAAAAAAATTGAAGGTCTTTATGATAGAAAATCAGCCACAAATAAAAATTTTCTGTTTCATAAGTTAGTAAATTTAAAATATAAAGATGGTAGCCCGATTTCAGAACATTTGAATGAAATAAAGAGTATTATTGACCAACTTGCTTTTATGAAAATTGTTTTTGATGATGGGTTGCAGGCTTTGATGCTACTTATTTCTTTGCCCAAGAGTTGGGAGACTTTGGTTATGACGGTTAGTAATTTGGCACCCGATGAAATTGTCACAATGAGCTAAGTCACTAGTAGCTTATTGAATGAAGAAACTAGAAGAAAATCAGTGGGTTCCTCTCATTCGGAAGCATTTGTTGTGAGAGGCCAAAGCAAAACAAGAGGGAGGAGAAAGACTCCTCATGGTCATGATAAAAGTCGTGACAAATCAAGATATGGTTCTTTTTCAAAGAAAGACATTGAGTGCCATTATTGCCATAAGAAAGGACGCATGAAGCGAGAATGCCAAAAACTTAAGAATAAGGAGAAAAAGGTGTGACAAAGTGTGGATAAGAAGCAAGAAGACACAACGGAGATTACTACCGATGACGATCTCATAGTCGTTTGTGAAGATGATTATGTCCATTTTGTAGGCGAAAAGAGTATTTGGGTGATTGATTCTGATGCTTCTTTTTATGTGACTTCTCGAGTTGATTTCTTCACTACCTACACCAAAAAAGATTATGGGTGTGTTCGAATGGGTAATGAAGGTTTGTCTAAGATTGTAGGCATGGGTGATGTTTGCTTGGAAAAAATGATCTACACACATTTGAGTGAACTACCCGTAATTCTTGGGATACTCTTCTAAAGAGTACAACATTATATACCAATACAATCAACAAAAAAGAAATACAGAAAAGGAGGGACGAAACAAGGTACTAGAAAACAACGTCACCACAATAGCTATCCTACTGCAAAAGCATATTCCCCTCTACCATCAAATATTTTCTGGTACTAAATAAATAGCAAAAGTGGCCGGTGTGTAAGGACGAAGATTCTTCATTCAAAATAATTCAAAAGCATAATAATTTTCCCGCCTTTGCTTTATGTTAATCATTCTAAAAATATCTTTACTTTACAACCACGCAAACCACCACAAACGTGACACGTATATAGCACTATCCGGCAAAGGAATCAAAAGTACTCATACCACTCACATCTGGGCCCGGGTGTAACTTCTCTTTAACCTCATCCATACACTTGTCCATAAGTATATGAATGGACGGCCAAGATCAGCGCGGAGAGGGAGGGGCGCTAGTAATATTAATACTACGCCTCCCCCCAAATCACACTAACTCACACCATTCACACTAGGTTTTTTAACTAATAACGGCTGGTGTGAGTTTACTGTTTATCACTACAAAATGTCTCACCCAGCCTCTTTCTGTTTCTATATCAAGAATGTTTTCCTTACCTACCCACAATCCCTTACCCAAAAGAACAACTCTTAGAACACCTCCAATCCCTTCTCCAACTAGCCTGTCAGTCATATTACATACTTGTCGCAAAGGAGCTCTATGAAGATGAAAACTCTCACCTTTATGCCATGGTTCAATGAAAAAGAAAATCCAAACCTCCAACTAGAGATTTTTTTATCTCATTGGAACCAATGGGAGAATCTATCATCCAAATATAGAAAAACTCCATTCTCCAATAGCAAGTCGATAATATATACAGAAAGGCGGCAATTTCATAAAATTGGGAGAATTTTCATCTAAGGGGAAAAAGTCCCTCGAAGAACAGAGACGAACTCTGGAGATGAATACTTACAGAAGCAGAAATAGAGGAGCAATTCTTTACACTCTGCAAAGAAAGATGTCCCACCGATTACGTACCAAAATACCCCCAATTAAAAACATTTTCGAGGGATTATTACAAACGAGAGAGGCCCTCATATACTAGCCCCTTTAATTCATTTCCTTTTTTAAATGAAGAAGTAAAAAATTGGGTAGAAAATAATATTTTATTTGTAAGTCAGAATTTTGTAAAATGTGATCTACGTCAAAATTGTTGTTTTTCCGTTTACAATGAAGACGACAACATTAGATTAGGGATACATAATAATAATATACACGATTTGAGTGAACTGCTTGTAATTTGGGCTGCGAGTTGTTGCTTAAAGATGTGAGGCATGTTCCCGACATTCACCATAATTTGATTTCTATCGGGAAGCTAGATGATGAAGGATATAACAACAAATTTGGTGATGGAAAATGAAAGCTCACAAAGGGTTCTTTGGTCGTGTCTAAGTGCAAGAAAACTCATACACTTTATTCGTTGTAAGGAAAATTTGTAAAGGTATTATCAATGGACTTGAAGATGATACTTCTACCAAATTTTGGCACAAACGGCTTGGGCACGTGAGTGAAAAAGGGTTGCAAGTTTTGTTCAAGAAAGAGCTTCTACCCAGTTTGAAAGATACTCATCTTAAAACTTGTATTCATTTCTTGGCGGGCAAACAACACAGAGTTTCTTTTCATAAAAATGTTGTTTTTAGAAAAGAAAATGTTTTGGAGTTGATTCATTTGGATGTTTGTGGTCCTTTAAAAGTTAGAACACATAGTGGTACACTTTATTTTGTTACTTTCATTGATGATTATTCAAGGAAAGTTTGGGTTTTTGCACTAAAAACTAAATATCAAGTTTTAGATGTATTGAAGCATTTTCAGGCAATGGTTGAAAAAGAAACAGGGCATAAATTGAAGTGCATCCGAACAAACAATGGTGGTGAATACATTGGGCCATTTGATGAGTATTGTTGTAGCCAAGGTATTTGGCACCAAAAGACAGTTAAGAAGACTTCTCAACAAAATAGCATTGGCAAGACGATGAATAGCACCATTGTAGAAAAAACAAGGTGTTTGCTTTCACATGCTAAATTACCAAGATCCTTTTGGGGTGAGGCAATGAGGACTGCGGTTGATATAATCAATTTGTCCCATTCCTATCATTTGAATGGTGATGTTCCAGAAAGAGTTTAGACTGGCAAAGATGTGTCTTATGAGCACTTGCGAGTGTTTGGTTGCCGAGACTTTGTTCAATTTCCAAATGATGAGAGGTCCAAGCTTGATAGCAAGTCAAGACAATGCATTTTTCTTGGCTATGGGCATGATGAATTTAGTTATAAATTGTGGGATCCAATTGACGAGAAAGTTATTCGAAGGCGTAATGTTGTGTTTCTTGAAGACCAAACAATTGAAGACTTTGGCAAAAGTGATAAACTGGAGGAAAAAACTAGTGATCTCATTGACATGGATCCATCTCCTTTATCTTCGGTGGATAATGAAAATATGAGAGATGTGCAGCCATCTATTGAAGATGTAGAGGACGATGCTACTCCAAATGAAGTTGAGCCCAAAATTAAGGAAAAACATCCAACTTAAGAACCGCCACCACAACTTGAGTTGAGAAAATCTACAAGGGACCGGCAACCTTCAAAAAAGTATCCTCCCAATGAATTTGTACTGATATCTAATCAAGGGGAGCCCGAGAGCTACCAAGAAGCAATTGAGCATGCAAAGAAAGATGATTGGAAAAAACCCATGGAAAAGGAAATGAATTCATTGATTGAAAACCACACTTATGATTTGGTGAAGTTCCCTAAGAGGAGGAAAATTCTGAAAAATAAGTGGGTCTTCAAATTTAAAAATTATGGTAAGAATCTAAGGTACAAGGCATGCCTTGTTGTGAAAGGTTTTGAGCAAAAGAAAAGTATTGACTTTGATGAGATTTTCTCGCCGATTGTGAAGATATCTTCTATTCGAATTGTACTTGGCATGACCACAAGTATAAACTTTGAATTTGAACAACTTGATGTGAAGACCACATTTCTTCATGTTGACCTTGAAGAAGAAATGTACATAGAACAATCAAAACGTTTTGTAGAGAAAGAGAAAGAGAAACTAGTTTGCAAATTGAAGAAAAGTTTGGCTTCAAGCAAGCCCCATGGCAATGGTACAAAAAAATTGACTCTTTCATGATGAATAATGGTTTTTCTAAAACCACTTCAAACCATTGTGTGTTTGTAAAAGAAATTTCGGATGGCAAATTTATTATTCTTTTGCTTTATGTTGATGGCATGTTAATTGTGAGTCGAGATTGTACTATGATTATCATGTTCAAATTGGAATTGAGCAAGTTTTTTGCTATGAAAGATTTGGGACTGGCAAAACAAATACTTAGTATGAAAATTGTTCGTGACCGCAAAAAAAGGACTGATTTGGTTATCTTAAGAAAGTTACATTGAGAAAGTGCTTGAGAGGTTCAACATGGATAAAGTAAAGCCAGTTGGTTGTCCACTTGTGAGTCACTTCAAACTTAGTTCAAATCAATATCCTACAAGTGACAAAGACAAGGAAGAGATGTTGAAAATTCCTTATGCTTCAGCGGGTGGTTCTTTGATGTACGCCATGGTTTGTACAAGGCCGGATATTGATCACTCCATTGGTGTGGTGAGTCGTTTTCTCTCTAATCTGAGTAAAGAATATTGGGCAGAGGTGAAATGGATTCTAAGATATCTTCGAGGGACTTTGAAGGTGTGTTTGTGTTTTAGGAATGGCAAGCCAATGCTTGATGGGTTCACGGATTCTGACATGACCGATGATATTAATTCTAGAAAATCTACTACGGGATATTTGATGACTTTTGCAGGAGGACCTGTGACATGGCAATCTAAATTACAAAAATGTGTTGCTCTCTCAACTACCGAATCTGAATTTATAGCCATTACGGAAGCTTGCAAAGAAGAGTTATGGTTAAAGAATTTTTTTGCAAGAGTTGGGTTTGAAACAAGAAAGGTATGTGATTTATTGTGATAGTCAAAGTGCTATTCATTTGAATAAAAATTTTACTTTTCATTCGAGATCGAAACACGTTGACATAAGATATCATTGGATTCATGATATATTAGATTTGAAATTATTACAACTCGAAAAGGTTTACACAGATGATAATATCTCGAATATGTTGACTAAAACTTTGTGAAGGGACAAATATTTGAAGTGTCGAACTTTGGCGAGTATGGTTGATGTCTCCACCGAAGTCGGTAGCAGGAGAATTGTTGAGTATGCCTTCTTAGTAGAGTATGAGACCCAATTGGTTTATTAAAAATAATTAATTTAATTTGGTGTTGGTTATAATAATCTGTTTAGTAATAATTAGGACTTTGATAAAATAAAATTAAAAAAATCTCAATAGGTAAAAATCTCAATAGGTAAAAATCTCAATTATTTTTGGAGTATTATTTCTTCTCTCCGAAAAGCAGCGGCGTCTGTAACAATTGATCAATCAATTCGGTGAACAGAAACGTGGGTCGAAGAAAATTTGTGCTCTCTTTTGAAGACTTGTTTGCTCAATCAATTTGTGAATTGGTTTAGTGCTTGGGTGAGATTTTTGTGTTACATACAAATTGGCTTAGTGTTTGGGTGAGATTTTTGTGTTACATGGTGTGTGCTTTAAAGGACTGTTTGGGTCATAGATAAAAAAAAATAATATATAGCCTATATTCAACTTATAAATTTTATATTTAAAATAAATTTAGATCACGTAATTCTTTTTCTTGATATACTTTTGTTTATGAATTTTATGTATGTAACATTGTTGGGTTTCAAATCGAAAAAGTGAATTATTTATTATTATTTATTATTTTTGAATTTATATATTTAATATTAATTTCAGTTTAAGATATCATCATTGTGCTTTCTATTGTACTAATTATATAAAAATCAAATTTATATATTAAAATTTATGTATAATTTATTAAATTAAAATAAAAGTTAAAAAACTTCACGCATTTTCTAAAGGCATGAGGAACAAGAAGACAGAAATAAAAGTGGTATTTATAAAGTTGGTAAAAAATTAACTTTTTAACTTCTTTATGACTTTTTTTTGTAAAAAATAAAGAGGTGATGTGATTCAAAAAAAATCAAAAAACTAACTTTTTACTATCCTGTCAAAACGCCCCATAGGTAAGGTGTGTGCAAAGCATGAGATTCTACACATTTGTAATTAAAATTTGTAGGGCTAGGCAAGGAAATTGAAAATTTTCCAAATCGAATCCGTCTGGACTAATTTAATAAATTTGGTTTGGTTTTTGTAATTTATGGTTCGGTCTTAGTTTGAAAAATTAGAGAATCGATCTCCACAAATTGGTTCTGAATTTAAGTTCACGATTTTGAATTTGAACGGTATGGGACCATATAAGTTAAATCATATATGTTTATTTATTAGATCTTATATATCTTTAAGTTAATGGTGAAATAATATGTATGTTTACGTTTATATTTTGAAAGTTTATGTTTCGAAAAAATCATGACAGATTAAATATTGATCAAATTTGCTTGATATTATGTTTTTGTTTAATTGGTGAATATTATGAAAGTAATTTATTTGATGGGCATGTTATTATTAATTCTGAAATTTATGATAGCTTAAATTTTTTTGAAAATGTTATATAGTTTTTTTTTTTTTTTTTGTGAATAGATTATGCCATCCGTGGTTCTAAATCAAATCGAATCATGTTTAAATGATTTAGTTTAAACTAATCCCATAATTTTAATGATTTAGTTTAGTTCCAATTTTTATGAAATCTTAAACTATGAATTAAATCCTGATTTCATTTCAAATCAATTCAAACCGAACTATACAAAATTTCAAATTTGTTTTCACTCCCTTTTAATTTTTTACTAACAGCAAAATTTCATATTTCATTAAATAAAAAAAACTAACTACTAAAATTATTATTAAAAGAACGTCCAATTTCATGTGTACCAACTGATATTGCAAAAAAACTCATGTTTTTTAAAATTAAAAAATAGTAAACTGTAAAGGTTACCAAAAATAATTGGGTGACCATAATTTTTCATTAGAGGGGTTAGGAATCATCTAAATAAATATAATTTTTTATTTTTTTTATAAAAAATAAAAATAATAATATAACCTAAAAAAATATAAAAAAATATGCTAATATGAGAAATTTGGTTTGGATAGCCTACAAAAGTAAAAAAGTCTATTGAAGCTTGTGGGAAAGCCTAGAGGACAAAATTATTATTTTGCCAACAATGATAGAATGATCATTTGATTTTACTATAATATTTTATTACACATATTTTCGTAAAAAGTCAAAAAGTTATTCAAAATATACATTTTTTCTCTACTTTTCTAGCCAAAGAGTCAAAAAGTGCACTTATATTTCAAAATATACATTTTTTCTCTACTTTTCTAGCCAAAGAGTCAAAAAGTGCACTTATATAGCACATTCCAAACAACTCTTGCTGAAATCATTAACAATTATTTTTTATTGTCGTTAATTTAAAATTATATATTAAATAAAAAATATAAATTATAAATTATAAATTTAATTTAATTGGAAATAATAAATTAAAAATTATGGCCTTATAAATTAAAAAATTTTAGTGTTAAATTATAAATTATAAATTATGGATTACAAATTTAAAATTATATATTAAATAAAAATTATCAATTACAAGGGTAAAATAGTCTTTTGAACATTTATCATTATTCAGTCCGTCCAACCAAACATTGGATTCACTAAAAATAGTCTAATTCAGACATCTAATCTCATGACTAAACAAACATAAGATACAAATCCAGTCCAACCAAATAGTCCAGGGACATTGTATCCCAAAACTAACAGTTTGATGGATTACAATCCTCCATTATCCAGTCCGTCCAAACAAACACACCCTAATTGTATTCGCTTTCAATTGTTGCAGCCTAGAGTGTTTGGTTACGGATCCAAAGTTAGCCACGACAAATGCCTAACCCAAACCCATTCTCAAATGTTTAGTCATTTAGGTAATTTGACGAGGATGACACCAATATATATACTTGTTTGTATGTGTTGTGTATAAATATATTCAATTTTCTTTGATATAGTTAAAATACAGAGAAAATTGTGAGCAAATCACAAAAATTTCAATCCATAAAAAATTTCAAAACACAGAGAAAATCAGTGAAATCAAGCAAATTAGAGAAATTTTAAAACACGGAGAAAAAATTTCTCTGTATTTTGAAATTTCTTTTAATCGAAATTTTTCTAGAAAAATATTAATGTGTCACTAAATAAAATCCACCAAATTCTCAAGTATTTCCAACAATTTCAAACCCCATTCCACACCAAAACTTTCAATCAATCTCGAGCTGTTGCTCTCAATCGCGAACCTCCTGTGGGGTTCGAACCCACTGGTTTTTCTGAAGCACACCACCTGTTCGATGAAATTTCCCCAAGAATCCTTTCTGACAATAACCAATTGCTCTTCGAGTACTCCCGCAACAATCTCAACGTCGAGGCTCTGAATCTCTTTGTGGGTACTCATCGTTCGGGTTTGCGGATTGATGGGTCTAGCCTTTCTTGTATTTTGAAGGTTTGTGGATGCCTATTTGATCAGATTGTTGGTAAACAAGTACATTGTCATTGTTTTAAATCTGGGTTTGTAGAGGATGTTAGTGTTGGTACTTCTCTTGTTGATATGTATATGAAAACTGAGAATGTTGTTGATGGGAAGAAATTTTTTTATGAAATGCCGGAGAAAAATGTGGTGTCTTGGACTTCATTGCTTGCGGGTTATTCGCGGAATGGGTTGGTTGATCAGGCAATAAAAATATTTTCCCAGATGCAAGCAGAGGGAATCAAGCCTAACCCGCTTACCTTTGCGACTGTTTTTCAAGCTTTGGCTGATGATGATGCAATGGACAAGGGCATTCAAGTACATAGTATGGTTATTAAAAATGGTTTCGAATCGGCTACATTTGTGGGTAATTCTTTGATTACTATGTATTCAAAGTCAGGGATGGTCAGAGATGCCAAAGCTCTGTTTGACAATATGTTGAATAGGGATGCAGTTTCCTGGAATGGCATGATTGCTGGCTTTGTAACAAATGGCCTTCATCTAGATGCTCTTAAACTGTTTTATCAGATGAGACTTGAAGGTGTAAAGCTAACACAAATGATTTTTGCTACAATTATCAAGTTATGCGCTAGCCTTAAAGAAATGGGTTTTGCAAGACAACTCCATTGTCGGATTCTTAAGGATGGTTTTGTTTCCGATCTCAATATTAAAACAGCAGTTATGGTTACGTATAGTAAGTGCAGTGAAATGGATGATGCCTTCAGACTGTTTTGCACAATGCATGGGATTTGTAATGTGGTGTCATGGACAGCCATGATTAGTGGGTACTTGCAGAACGGTGGAGTAGAGCAAGCAGTGAATCTTTTCTGCCAAATGAGGAGAAAGGGTGTTAGGCCAAATCATTTTACTTATTCAACTGTCCTTACTGCTCACCCTGTTGCTTCTCTGTTCCAAGTACATGCACAAGTGATCAAAACCAATTATGAGAACTCACCTTCAGTAGGCACTGCACTTTTGGATGCTTACATTAAGATAGGTAATACCAGTGAAGCTGCACAAGTTTTTGGACTAATAGAAGGGAAGGACATTGTGGCATGGTCTGCAATGCTAGCAGGGTATGCCCAAATAGGGGACACCGAGGGAGCCATTAAAATTTTCCTCCAGTTAGCAACAGAGGGTGTTTGGCCAAATGAGTTTACCTTCTCCAGTGTCATCAATGCATGTGCTAGTCCTACTGCGGGAGTGGAGCATGGAAAACAGATTCATGCAAGCTCAATTAAATCAGGATATAATAATGCTTTATGTGTAAGTAGTGCTCTTGTTACCATGTATGCAAAGAGAGGGAACATTGAGAGTGCAAATGAAGTTTTTAAGCGGCAACAGGAGAGAGACTTAGTTTCATGGAACTCGATGGTCTCAGGATATGCACAACATGGTTATGGGAAAAAGGCTCTTAAAGTGTTTGAGGAAATGAGAATGCAAAACTTGGAAATGGATGATATAACATTCATCGGTGTGATTTCTGCTTGCACTCATGCAGGACTAGTTGATGAAGGTCAAAGATACTTCAACATGATGATCAAGGATCTTCTCATTAATCCTACCATGGAGCACTATTCTTGCATGGTCGATCTCTATAGTCGAGCTGGAATGCTTGAAAAAGCCATGGAACTCATAAATAATATGCCATTCCCTGCAGGTGCAACTATTTGGCGTAGCATTTTGGCAGCTTGCCGTGTTCACTTAAATTTAGATTTAGGGAAACTTGCAGCAGAAAAGCTTATTTTACTTCAGCCACAAGACTCAGCTGCATATGTCCTGCTATCAAATATGTATGCAGCAGCAGGAAACTGGCAAGCAAGAGCCCAAGTGAGAAAGTTAATGGACAAGAGGAAAGTGAAAAAAGAAGCTGGGTACAGTTGGATTGAGGTGAGGAACAAGACCTATTCATTCTTGGCCAGTGATCATTCACATCCCTTATCAGACCGTATTTATTTAGAACTTGAAGAGTTAAGTGTCAGATTGAAGGATGCAGGATATCTTCCAGATACAAATTATGTGCTACATGATGTTGAAGATGAACACAAAGAAGCTATACTTTCTCAGCATAGTGAGAGGCTGGCCATTGCTTTTGGATTAATTGCCACACCCTCTGGTACTCCAATCCAGATTGTGAAGAATCTCCGAGTTTGTGGTGACTGTCACACTGTGATCAAGTTAATATCAAAGATTGAGGGGAGAGAGATTACTGTTCGAGATTCAAACCGGTTTCATCACTTTAAAGAAGGTTTATGCTCTTGTGGTGATTATTGGTGACTCTTGAATGGACCAGTGAAGAATGGCTTTAACAGAAACTTATTATGCAAAGGATTCACATGGCTTCATGAGCTGAAAAATCTTTTTGTATGGCAGAGGAGAACATTGCCAGGAACAACATATTAGAGTTCAAATTTGTGGATGACCCAACTTCATGTCAGAATGAAGGACCACTAAGCAACCGCCTAAGCATATGGATTTGCTTCTTGTTGCTGCAGTATGTCGTCGACACATCAAAGAAGAAGATACATAGAACCTTTGGAATTGGGGAAGATGGATTAATCAGAGAGGAGTCGTTTTAGAAATGTCATGCCAACAGAAGATTGGCATTTCATGAATTGTGAGATGAATCTTCTGATGGCCCACCAAAAACAATGGGCCTTATGAAGTCTGGATTCATTTCTCTCCATGTTGTTGTTGACAAATTGGCCAGAGAGGTATGTGAAGAAGATTTTTCTTTATGCATTCAAGAGTTTCCATGCTAACATTCTTTTGTGTATTTAATAATTTAATGAGTATCGTGAAGTGAATGTGTTACTCTAGCACAAATATTTTTAATGTACCCTGAACACAATAAGGTGCTGATGTGATACCAATATGACATAAGTGTTTTTCTAACATATTTAGTGTCACTTTAAATGAATGAGAAAATTAGAATTCTCTTGGAAAAAAAAAAAAAAAAATTATAAATCCACTCGAGACATGCAACTATAGCCTGTGCTTAAAAATATCATTCTGCATGCAACCGTGTGGAATAGGCTTGAAATACAAGGTCATCTCTGTAAGATATAGGCTCAGGTTCCTTCCAAAAGCACTTGTTCGAGAGAGGAGTTCATCTAGGAAGGACCACTTGTGACCTTCAAACTTGAGAAAATGGTCTTTGCCACGGTGGTAAGGTCCTATCGATACTATTTGAGTCTGTTGGGCATTGTCACCAATGCCTACAAGGCTACGAGGTAGCCCGAAGATACATATGGACGAGCTTGAACCTAATTCTTAGTAGGCACCTTTCCTCAAATCTGTTTTATAAGATTTAAAGAATACGCAAATAAAGGTTTTGATCTAAGGTAATTTAGCCTCATCTCTCGCTGCACTTGTTCCTCTTACTGCTAGCTTTCCATTGCTTCAGGTTCAGGGTTTTCAATACTCATCTCTTTCAAGGCTTGACCATGTGCTTGAACGGTATTCCTTATTTCCAAAGACTATCACTACTTGCTTTATGCTGTTGTTTTTCACTTGGCTTGAACTTTCAGTGATTGGTTGTGATTTTGCTCTCTTATTTTCCTGGGTTTGATTCAGTCTATCCTCATTGGCAGACACATTAATTGCAATAGCTTGGTACTCCATCTCTCTCTCTCTCTCTCTCTCTGTCTGGTATAGAATGATGAAGGATATTAAGATGCTTTCACTTTTTTGAGTTTTACTCATGTTTCCTGGAAAGTGTGTAAAATTACATGTCCTATTACATGGTAGAGAGGTAATTCCAAGCAACTACTAATTTTGTCTAAACATTTTGTTTGACTTGCAGCAATTAATTGAGAAAAGGAGAGGAAACTGGACTGAAAATGGCACTGGCTTGGCTTAGGACAGGACACCAGGAGGATTCGAACAGAAGGAGAATCTGGCCTCATCTGAAAGACACCATAAATCTATAATGAGTGGACACATTAGTTCATCGTGTCTTAAACCGTTATACTAGTCACACGATTATTGAATAGAAACATGGTAGTGGGCAGGTAAGTGCTTATATATTAGAAATGTCATCAATCTAGAGAAAAAAAATTGTTTAATAAGGTGTACAAAATTTGAATATATTGTATTGATTTAAACTTGGTGTAGGGTTATTCCGAGATAAATCTTGATGGGATGTGGGTTATATTCACAATCGGGCCGGAACGAGGAAATTTGTTCGGGAGGGGCCAATGTATATGCATAAAAAATATTGAATTAGTTTTGATATATTACTAATTGAATAAAATTTCTTATACAAGGCGTTGCTAAGGGAGTTGCTGAGGGAGTATTTGGCAAGAAAACTAAATAAATCTAAAAAATAGTTTTTTAAGTTTTAAACCATTAGATCTTGGTATACATTCGGTTAAACTTATTGTGTTAAGTGATTTTATTAATTGATATAATCTAGTAATAAAAAGTGAAAAATGCTTAAGATCCGTAAAACTTTTTGAACTTACACTTGGCGTTGAATGTTACATGTTAGTTAATTTGTTTATAAATTAATTAACTAAAATCTAATTCCTGTCATGCTATTGTGAATAAATTTGACGGTGAAATTTTAGGTTTTCTAACATTGTTCATAAAAAAGTATACATACCATTTGATTTTTAATATCTAAAAGATAAGTGACATGTGCCTCTTGTTTTAATAAAACCGACTTGGATTGATATTATTATTTAAAATATGAAATGATTAGATATCATTTCATTAGATACTGTAAAATAATAATGTAATCAAAATTTAGTAAAATTGCTATCATACATTTCACTTCATTCGCGAATTACTACAATATTCTTATGTTCACTTCGTACCAGGCATAAAAAATACTTGGATTTAACTAATATGCGTGATTTGCAAGTGGACATGGATAATGTTAAGAATATCAAATTTTCTACTAAACAACTGACTAAATGTCTGAGGTTTGCAATTTTGTGGACCCTACACTCATGTGAGATATTTGGTCATTTATTTGATAAAAAATTTGAGACCTATAATATTTTTCAATGAGTATACATATCTCGAGTGTAAGGGGATCTGTATCTTTATGTAAGATTAAATTAAACCTAGTCAAGCAAGCACGTTAGAAGTGTTGGGTATACTTCTAACCAATAGTCCACGAGTAAGAACGCTTCTGATTTCTGTAACGCTCAGTCTTGATGAGTTAAAAAACGTCAATAGAATTTTAATACGCTTCGATTCGATCTTAAATCTGGTTTAAAAGTAAACTTTCAGAAAGCCTCATTTGCAGCATTGGTACTGAAAATTTGCAAGGAAATTTTCAACTTGGAAAAATTTTAAAACGCAAATCTGGCAATTTTCTCTCTGCAAATAGTGTAGAATCATACATATAAGGGGGAAATTTTTTTTTCACAGTTTTTACCTTCTAGCTTTCACTCAAATTTCACATTGACTTTTCATGTTTCAATTTTTACCAAAATTTTAGGGTAATTACAAATATACCTTTAAGATTTGCTTAAAATATAAATTATTCTTTATAGTTTTGAAAATTACACCTCACCTCTCAAAGTATATAATCGTATAACAAATGATATTTTTTATTAATAAATTATTAAGTCAATTAATAATTTTTAATAATGTCAAATATATTTTAATTAATAATTTAAGTAATTTCATTATTGCATAAGAGAATAGCCAGAAATTTTATTTTATTTATTAAATTTCTGATAAAAAGGTATTTGTAATTTTTTAAATTATAAAAAATAATCCGTATTTTAAATAAATATTATGGGATGTATTTGTATTTTATCCTAAATTTTAAATCGGTCCTACTGGAGACCCCCAGCAGGAGAGACCCCCAGCACCCCCACCTCCACGTGGGGGGCTGGTAATGGCTGAAAAAAAAAAAAAAAAAAAAAAAAAAAAAATTACTCAGAAATTACCCAGAAACACCTGTGTGTAGGAGTCGACCCCAGCACCCCCAGCTGGGGGTCTAAAGCATTTTTGATTTTAAATGATAGGGTAACAATGGGATTGCAATAAAACTCGAGTTGAAATCTAGTAGGGTGGGCATGGAATGGGTTCGAATTGACCTAGTCTTACACTACATAGTAAAAACATGTGTTATTTCACTTGGCTTTTCGCCTTAGATCTAATTTTATTATTTCAAACATGACGATTTTTTAAATTTCAAATATGTGCACTCAACCCAATATCTATTGACTATTTTATTCATTTTGGTTATGGAAATTAATCGAACTTTCTCAATAATTATTTGAATTTAATTTATTAATGAAATTTAATATTAAAATAAATTTTAGCCGTTTTGTTTAAATTAATCTTTTAAAAAGCATTTGAGTATAAAGCATATACATATATATGTATTATCTTTTAGTATTTTTTTAATTTATTATGCTAGTATAATTTAT